TTCTGCTGCAAACAGAAGACCTCTTGGCTCTCTGCTGGTTTGGCTGTGGCCGAGCAGCCGCAGCGCCCATTGCATGTTCAAAAATGATGATTTTAAAATATTGCTTGTCAAGGTGTAACGGTAACATCTTGCTAGACCGAAAGAAACAGCTTGCTTAGCTTGTAGCTCTCTTGTTTTAGGTGATCTGACCCTAGGGAGTCTGTGTTTGGTTCCCTTTCAGCTGCAAGTAAATCCTTCTAAATGCGAGCTGAGGAGACCAGAAAGTCTGGGAGATATTGAAAGCTTGCATTCTGCAGGGCCTGCCGCTTTGTCAGATAAATCCTCTCCAGCGAGCGTGAGCCAGCCTGTGGCCAGATGTTAGACATCGCAGCCTGATGTCCTATTACCTCCTGAACGAACTAGCTGCTCCTCTTCCTCCCCTGGCCTCCCAGGTTAGCCACAAAATCCTGCTAGGCGGAGATTGTCCGTAAAATCACAGAATAATGGTGATTTCTGTGTGCCTGGAGATGGCATCTCCTGCTGAAAAAAAAATAATCACTTGATCCTCCAAGATCAGCCTTCCTGAAAAGAGCTGCCTTTCTGGCTGGGGATTGATGGTGATCAGTACATGTTAATTTAATAAATCCCTCCTCCCAGGGCATGTGTGCGTAAAAAATACAGGTAAAACTGTGCACAGCAGCTTATCTTCATGGGGTGAGGGTGCTCTTGGCCTGGGGGAGGTATTGCAGCTACATGCTAATCTCTCCCGTGTTTCTTTTAAGAATCCTTTCTCCCAGCGCTGGGGAAAGTTGTTCCTGTTTCACGGTGTTGCACTGGTGTAAGGGCTCGGGGGACCTGGACTTGGTTACACGAGAAATGTCTGCAGGTCTCCTAATCTGCCTGGGCCCTGGTTTCCAGTCTGCTGGTCACATTTATCTCAGTTAGGTCTTGCTGAGCTCCAACCATGTGCTCCCACCACCTCCGTGGCACCAGCCATGGTGTGGGTCGGACTCTTTGCAAGCAGATTCTGCTGACGGAGAGGGGACGGGATGGCGTGGGAAGGGTAGGACCTTCCTGCTGTGCTCCAGGGACCTCCAAGGTTGGGTTTTGTTTGTGCTTCCCAGGTGAGCATGGCCGTCTGACCACTGACCTTCCTCTTCTCGCCTCTTTTGGACTGCAGCTTCTTCACCCTTTATTTTGCCTCTCTTTGCTTTGACTGTAAGCCCTTGGGTTGGGTTGTATCTCACTTGCTTCTCTGTCAGTAAAGTCTAGGAGGGAAGTGGCCCCAGGTATCAGCTGTCTGCTGGGAGGAAAAATGATAATATTCAACCATTGATTTTCCTGCCTGATAAAAGTGCCTTCTCCTGTGTTTGCATTGGGGCTCTCCGTGTCTTCCTCTGCAGCGGCACAGCCACCCTCATCGCTGCCGAAGGCTTTGCTGACAGCTGGGGCAGGAGCATTGCTGGACAGCAAGTGCCTCAGTTTCTATTTAACTGATTAAACCCATCGACAGCCTTAAATGAGTTTAATCTACTTAATTTGCCCTGTGGGCTAGTGTACTGTTATATAGATCCAGCAGCCCGCAGAGCACGTTGTAGGCATGCGCAAGCAGCTGGAGGTGGGATGGGGTCCTGCGAGCTTGATTTTCAGGGCTCTGGTTTTGGAAATGCCTCTGCTTGATGCTTGCAGGGTTTGACCTCGGTGAGGAATCAGCCTGGGGGTGCACGTGCCTGAGGTGGTCTAATGGTTGTCCATTTGAGGCCCGAATTATTCGGGAGAGGTGTAAAAAGAACAGCCTTGAAAAGGGGGAGAATTAGCATCCGAATATGGGGGAGGTGTGTGCACTGGGGAGAGGGCTGACGGCTGTCTCTTGAGCTCTCTTGGAGGGAGGTGAAAGGATGGGTGAACTTCTGGGTGTCGTTTGGATATCGCCGTCCCTGTCGCCGCCGGCTCCACCACCCATTTGCTCAGGAACCTGAATTTGCTCCCCTTATTTGCACCACGTGGCTGACCTGCACCCCTGTTTGTAGCACTTCCAGAAGTATCTCTGGTGCTGGGTAACCACCTTGTACCCTACTCTTTTTTCCCTGTCCTTCCTGCATACCTTCCTGGGATCTTTTTTTTTCCCTGATTGTGGATCTTTTGTGGTGTTTCCATCCTGAGTCCGTCACTGGGTTGAGACCTAAAAGGGAGCTGGGCTGAAGTTCAGGGCTTGGCAAGGCAGCTTGGGTCCATCACTAGCTGCCTCTGCTTGGTTTGCCAAGACATGGCCTTTATCGTGCCAGGCTCCTGGTTGACCCTGGCTTTTCTGACTTGCGTGGGTTGCTGCCGGCCCCTGCCTGCTGCCTGCAGCCGGTGATGCAGATGTGCCCCTCGCTAGCGAGAGCCCACAGCCCGGGGTGGCGTGGATGTGTCTCACTGCTCTGTGCTCTTCCCCTTCCTCCCTAGGGAGCTCAAACTGCGAAACTACGAGCCCGAAGATGAGGAGCTGAAGAAGAGGAAGGTGCCCCAGGCCAAGCCGGCCTCAGGTGGGTGCAAGCAGGAGCGTGGGAGGCAAAACGAGGGAGCACAAAAGCAGAAGCGTTGCCAACGGTGGTGCTGGTGCCTGCGGTGAGGGAATGAGGCAGCGCTTGTGGTTGTGAGGACAAAGAAAACAGGGCGGGACTCTGCATCCAGCCAGCATGCTGCAAAATGGATGGGTTATACCTTTTCTTTCCAAAAATCGGGTGGCTTGGAAACCTCTGTGTTCCTGCTCGCTCCAGCCCAAGGTGGAAAAGCCACTGGGACGTATTCTGATAGCAGCTTGCTGGTGTGAGGGTGGTCGGTCCTAGGAGATGAGTGTCTGCAGCCCTGGAGGGTGCTGGCGTGTCTGAGCAGCCGTGGTGGGAGCTGGGCGAGCGTGATGCTTGCGCGCCCCGTTCCTTCATCATCCCCTCTCGCCCGTGGGGACTGCACACCCTGCATTGCACAAGTGGGGTGTGTGTGAGCATGCCGAGTCCAGCCCCAAACCAAAGGGTTGATATTCGGAGGAGCCGAGTTCTCGCTGGAGGATTCTCAAGGAGATTCGGGCTGGTTTTTGTTTGAATTACCTTTAAAGAAATGTTAGTCATGAGTCCAGGGCGTTAGTCTGCTATTTCTTAGCACTGAACCTCTGCGCAGCTCTTGAGAGTGAGGCGAAGGCTAGAAGTTCCCTTGATCTTGAAATATTGAGTCCTCCTGGAATAGATGTCTTTAAAAATGCCCTAAATAAAAAGGCTGCCTTTGGGAGCACGGCAGAGATCTGGTAGGTAGGAATGCTGACGCTGCGCTTTCTTTATCCTTTTGTAAAAGTTTAAAACTTCCCCCGACTCTTCCCGGGTGTGTGGTCTGGAATTGGGAACAGCAATTTTGACCGTTTCCAGTAAAACTCGCGCTCTCTGCCAGCCCTTCTTCGGAGCTGCAGGTTCCCGTGTCTGGAGTAACCAGCCTGTCTGTCCTCGGGCACTTTGTGCAGAGGCTGGGGACGGAGGAGGGCAGAGGAGCTGGGACTCGGAGCGGATTAATATTAAATGTGCCTTGGGCATATCCGTTTGCTGGAGCAGGATTCATCCCTCGGGGATGTGCTCCCTGGTGCCCGCACCCCCTCCGTGCACAGACGCCCGAGTTGAAGGACGGAGGACTGTTTTCCACGCGTGCTTTGCCGTTATCCCCAGGATCTGCAGACCTTTACGTAAGGTCTGGGCTGGAGCTTGATTCCTCCAAGATGTCTCAGGTGGTGGGCCTTGTAAATGAGTCACGGTGAGTCAAATTCCAGTTTAAACACCTGCGGAGCAGCTGATCCCTGCAGGTCTTACGAAAAGGGGGCTTGAACCCCGCAGACTTCTTGCTGCCGTTGCTGTTTGTGGTGTTAAACGGTTGTTGGGTTTGCATCACTTTCAGGTGATTTTTAGGAGTCTCCGAAAGGGTTTGGGTGGTGGGGGAACGTGTGTACCCACCTGTACTCACGGTATTTACCGCGCTTTTAAGGCAAAGACGTTCAAATGGGCTTTTATAAAAGCCCATTGTGAACCAAGCCCAGAGCTGTGGTGGGTTTCCCTATGCCTTGTCCCCTTGGTGTCCCGCCGCTGCGCCCTGCGCTGATGCTGGTCCTGTTCCCCCATCTAGTGGAAGACAAGGTGAAGGACCAGTTGGAGGCTGCCAAGCCGGAGCCCATCATCGACGAGGTGGTATGTATATTCAGATCTGCTCTGTGCCGCCTGCATCTGTCTGCGTCCAGGCTTGAACCTGACCTGCAGCTCTCACTGGGTGTCTCCTCTTCCTCCCTAGGATCTGGCAAACCTGGCCCCCAGGAAGCCAGACTGGTGAGTGCCTGCAGAGCCCTGCTCCTGGGAAAGGGGTGTTGGCATCAGCGGTGGGTTACCATCACCTCGAGGTCGTCCAGGTTGGGTTAGAAGTGCCAGAAATGGGAAACCCTGCCCTGCAGTTGGGGGAGACACAAGGCACGGGGCTGTCCTCCCTCTTCCCGCTTACACCGAGTGACTCCACTGATCCCTTTGGGGTGCTTGTCACCACGGTGGCCTCGCTCACAAGGGATGCTCTGGACATCGGGTTGGTTTGACCATGAGCTGCCTTGGTGGCAGACGTACCCTCTGCTCCGTGGTGTTCGTAGGAGAGAGAAGGAGTTTCTCTTCCACTGGGAAAGGTGTAACGTGGCCCCTGCATTGACATCTGCCTGGGGTGAGGATTTGTTCTGACATTGTCACTCTCCTCCCCAGGGATTTGAAGCGAGATGTAGCCAAGAAACTGGAGAAGCTGGAGAAGAGGACGCAGAGAGCCATCGCTGAATTGATACGTGCGTTGTGGTGCTGCAGGGGTGGCATATGGGGTCGCCAGTTGTTCCAGAGGGATTACACACCCAGTCCTTGCTGGAAGCTCGGTGCCTTGCTGTTGGGCCAGGGAGGGACCGGCGGAGCTTGATCCCCTTCCCAAAAGGGTCTGTGAAGCTGTGGGTCCCAAGTAGCTTCCCCGAGGCTGCACGCACACTTGGCTTGCGTGGCAGGGAAGGATGGTTTGTGGGTTCGGGGGCCGCAGTTCAGGTCCTCTGCTGTGTGGGTTCCCCAGTATCTCTAAGCCGCTGCCGTTTCTCACTTGCAGGAGAGCGGTTGAAAGGGCAGGAGGAGGAGCTGGCGTCTGCTGTCGGGTCAGCAAAGCAGGAGGGAAGTGACTCCGACTGAGGAGGTCCAGCCGGCAGCCTCGGGCATGGGCTCTGTGGATCTGCCTCTGCCAGCACCGCTGATCCCATTGCTCTCGGGCAGAGGCACCTCGTTGGGACACGCTGCTCACCAACGCTTTGCTAGAAGCCCTTGAATCCTACCATGCCTGAAGAAGAGGGGCAGATCCGAGGAGCCCCGCTGTCCTCTCTCGGACCATGGCTGTTCCTCCATCGAGGAACACTTCACAGATAGCTTTTTGGGACCACGGGGGGCCGATGGGATCAGGACAGACACCCACGTTAGCTTGAACCTAGGCTGCTAGGTCTTGGAGCAAGGAAGGTGTGGGCAAAAGGGCTAGTGCCAGAGAAGGTAAATTGGGGCTAACTCTCCTCTCACTTGATGGGTGAGCGGGAAGATGCCCACACAGCCAAGAGCAGCCCTTGGAGAGGCACGACCATTTCCCAGGGGACTGATGCTCCTGTTCCTGCACAGAGATGCCTTTTTCAAGGTGCTCCTTTCTGCAGAAGAGCTGGTGTAACTGCCACGTGGGGAACAACGAGGTCTCTCGCTCTGGAGAGCTGGCTGTGAGTATTTGGGAACATCCATGGTCAGACCCAGCACGTGCAGAATAACTCCGCTGGAAGTGGCTGTGTGGCTCAGGACCTGTTGGCTGCTCTGCATCCAGCTGAGGTTAACGTGGGGTTTGTTCTGTTCCCTGAAGCTTCCCAACCCTCTGGGCTGTGCAGCGTGTCCCACTCCTTTATATGTTTTGTAATTGACAGAGTTTGTTGTTAACAAATCTTTTCATAATAAAACGGTCCCGTAGCGGAAGGAGTCGTCACTTGTTCTGCAGAGAGGGCTGGGTGGTGGCAGCTCAGTTCATCTCCCTTATGTCTGTGGGGACTTCAGGCCACTGTTCGCTGGTCCCTGTCCCCTTTGTTTCCCTGGGACGGGGAGCAGCGGGCTTCAGTTCATGTACGTTTGAGGTGGCCGAGCTGTAGCTACAGCAGGTCAAGCACAAATCCCGGACCCAGCAGCCCGGGGTGATGCGAACCCCATGCTGCTGGAGGAAGTGTGTGGGTGGGATGCTGCAGAGCTGACCCTGCATCTTCCCTGGGGACGTTTGCTCTGGCTCTCGGAGATCTCGCAGGATGGGTGTCTTGGCCGGGCCTGATTGCACGGGCTGCTGAATCCTCTGTTCTTGACTCAAAAGTGTTTTTGTCCCGAGGTAAAACATCTGGTGCGTATGGCTCTGACAGCGGTATTTACAGAAGAGTTCACCTGCGATAAAAATAGCTGTTCCTGTTAATGCACGCATCCTGCTGCTTTTAAAAGCCTGTTGAAAAGAGCTGCTGGGGGGGAGAGGTCCTTCACGCGGCAGCAGCCTGCCTTGGAGGGGAACGGCGTTTCTGCCCTCCTGCCTGCTGGAGCCTTGGTGAGTGGGTCTGCCAGTTCAGGTTGTCACCAGCTAGACCAGGTCCCCACGCAGGACAAGATCAGTCCCAGCCGTGCTAAATACAGACTGATCGACGCTTGTCCCTCTGCCAGGATCTGCTGTGACTGCCCACCGCTCTGTGCTTCTTGCACGTGGTGAGGACACTCGAGGGACTTTCCACCTGCCAGAGCCCCGTTCCTGCTTCTGGATGATGGGCTTAGGAGCAAAGATCTGGTGAAACGCCTTCTCGTTCCTCCAGCTTCCGTCCACAAATGGCTGCTTAAAGCCCTCCATCCCCAGCTGCCTCCCCTCTCCCTTGGCTGCCTCTTCCTGGCGTTTGCAGCCATCCCTGCTCCGTCCTTCCCTCGGGCTGGTGCTTGTCACCCCTTGGAGGGGCCCTTTCCCAGATACGTGGAGCCAACAAGGAGACGGGCATCCCGTGGAGCGAGGGGAGACCCGTACCCACCTGGGCCAGCGGTTATCCAGCACCAGGCTCCAACGTTGGTGTGTGGTTGTGGACTCCCTCGGGGCTCTCTAGTGGAAAAGCACCTGGGATGAAAGACCATCCACCTTCCTGGGGGTCATTTTTTGGGTATTTTTGTTGGTTTTGCCCTATTCTTCCCCAGGCAGGAGGCAGCCCTAGTGCCCCTCACTCTTGTCCTGGGTCAGACTGTTTCTGGGCAAGAAAACCAAGATCTGTCACCAGTGTGAAGGTGCCACCCAGGCACCCCATGCCGCAGGGGCAGGTGGGTGCTGCTTGTCATGGGTGCTCTTGGCCATCACATAACACTGCCCTGTGGCTCCGTCGTGGAACAGGGGGGTAGATCTGCTGTACGGGGACATCCTCGGCACTGGGCAGAGCACGTGGTGATGCTTTGAGGATGCTTAAAAATGAAAAGGACCCCCTGACTCGTGACAGTGACAGCTTCTCCGCCACCAAAGCGGAGCTGCCAACGATTTGAGATGAGTGTTCGGTGATAGCTCCACCACACGGGTGTATTTGTGGTTAGTTATTCATGACCTGGGCTGTCACACACCTTAATGTGCATTTCTTCGTTGGGAAGGGAATTGGGGGAGCATGAACACGCGTCCCCCGTAGAGCCACGGCCTCTTCTCTGTGAAATGCCCTGTAGATGTCAGCAAATCTCCGTGCACGAAACCGCGCTGCGTCCGGCTAGTCCCAGCAGCTGGACCCTGTGCAAAGCTGAGCTTTGCATCCCCGGCAGCCGCTCTGGCTGGGATGCTGCCACGCTCCTCCATCCGCCCGGCTGCGTGGTACCCGCGCTGCCCTTCCCTCCCCGGCTGGAGCTGGACTGACGGCGTCTGCTTTGCAACACACGTCAGATGTAAATATGAACACCCCATGCAACGGTGTGAAGCAGAAGAGAGCTTTCCCTCGTTGACTTTAAACTGCCTCAAGTTGCAAGCACAGCCCTTCCCAGAGCAAACCTGTGCTCCGTCTGCGGCTGTGACTGCACCGCCCGGAGCAGAGCCATCCTTGCAGGACACGAGGGGCTGGGCTTGTACCTGGAGCGGGGTGGTGGGGAGGAAGGACAGGGTCAGGCCCATTTCCCTCTCCGACGGGGCCTCGCAGTGAAGCGTCGCTTCTCCTGGCACAGGATTGGGGCCCCATCGTGAGATGTGGGTCCCGGCGTGGGCCTGGGGTCCCTGCGTGGGGCCGGGGTCCTGGCATAGGACCAGGGGCCCAGCATGGGACAGCCCTGGGGACTAACATGCAGGTGCTGGGGGACTAATCCCCCTTCCCCTGGGGCATTCCCTTCTCCAGCCCAGGGGAAAGAGGGACCTGTGGAGAAGGGCTGGGAGAACAGGGACATTTGGGATGTAACACCGAACTCGGCATCCCATGGATTTAATTTATTCCCTGGCTGTGTGGCCAGAGGGTGAGGGATTTTCTCCCTTTTGAGGGTTGTGCCCCAAGCCTGCGTTTATCCTCTAGACCCTTTAAAATCCCAAACGCTTCTTCTCGTGGCCCAGAAGCGGTTTTAACTTAACCATGGGTTTGTTTTTGTTTTGCATTGCAGGTGTCCCAGGGATCCACCTGAAGCCCCCTCGGGCAGCTCCGTGCTCTGTGCTCATCCCGTGCCCGTATCCTCAGGATGCTGCCGTGGCAGAAACGCTCGGAGGAACAGCCCTGGTTTGCTTTGCCCTGGTTTCCCTAGACAAGGGGAGCTCCTCTGAGAGCCGGGCTGGAGGAGGAGGATGAGACACAGGAGGGCCCCGAGGATGAGGAGGTAATTTGGCTCAAGGTTGTTTGCAAAGCGGGCAGTGAGACAAGAATGAACAATTCCTCAAGCAAAGCAGATCAGAAAGGCCAGGGGAGAACAGTAAATAAATAACCCAGTGAGATAATCCCTTCAGCTCCAGGGAAATCAAAGGCTTAACATGTACCCTGTGCCTCCTGGGGGACTCCTCTGGATCACTGAGCTGCTGCTCCATCCACACCACTGGATACCAGAGGAGGCACCTCATCGTTGAGCTCCTCTGGCCAGGGATGCTTTTCATGCCCTGCTTTTTGAAATAAGGAAAGCAGCGGCCCATGCGAGTCTGCAGGTGTGAGCTGGTCCTTCTGGAAAGCTCAGGGTCTTTTGGGGTGGACGTGGGGAATTTGCTCCGTTGCATCTTCTCCTCCTGCCTCCCCAGCAGCAGTGAGAGCAGGTCCCAGCTCTTTGCAGACCAGTCCAACTGCCCAGCCCTGCCTCTCCCTTTTACAGGCTTCGGTGGTAAACAATGGCACGATGTCTGTCCTCCATCTGTCCCTCCCAAATGGCTTGGGATCTGCTGTCCTGGCAAGAGACCTCGATACAGCCGTTGTCTCCTTTGGGTTGAGAGTGCTGCAACCTGCAGCGATTCCCCCAAACCAAGACCAATTTCTGGCAGACACCCGCACCTAGCAGAGCTGATAATAATTCATAACTCGTAACTCATGCTGATGTGGTGGCTATGTGGGGACATGCAAAGAAAAATTAAGCTAGAAGTCCGCAGTGCCTTAGCTGGGTCTGATGGCATGGACCGTTGTCCCATGTGTTGTCCATAGAGGTTGGAGGCACCTCTGGAGATGCTCTAGTCCAACCCCTGCTCAAGCAGGGTCAGCTGGAGCAGGTTGCCTGGGACTGTGTCCAGCTGGGTTTTGAATAAATTCATGTTCTGATGAGGAAGCAAAGTGCTGGAGAATGGAGCTGCGGCTCCCAGGGCCAGACCCAGGAAGCTCAGCTGTTAGCTAACCCGGAGTGAGACCACCATGGCTTTGGCAGAACGAGCTGGAACTGTGTGTTTGCCACAGAATACCCTGAAAATGTCATTAGGGACCGAGGTCAGCCCAGGCTGGATCTGCACCTGGGACACGGCTTTGCCCTTCGCCGAGATCTCAGGTCTGTGGAGGGGATCAAAGAGACGTGGGTGAGGATGGAGCTGGTTGGGACTATGCCAGGGGCTGTGCAACGCTTCTTTGAAGCTGAATTCTGCCAAAAATGTCTTTTTTTTTGGGGGTGGGGAGGCATCAGAAAGACCCACCCCTAGGCTGGGGGTGTTTCGCAGACCAAAGGGTCTACATGGGGCTTGAGGAAGCTTCAACTCAAGCGACAGAGCTGGGGCAGAGCCCTGAGACTGACAGCACAGAGCTAGTTGATGAAGAAAGGTCTTGACATGGTCTCCAATGGATGACCATCTTGGCTTTCCAAGATGCTCTCACCTCTCCTTTCCATTGGCTATAGGGCTGGGCATCCGCGCCTTGCTGCCTGCCTCCTCCGAGAGGTGTGGGTTGAACATCTCATGCTCCTCTTCCCCCTACCATTAGCTGGAAAGTGTCAGCCTGAAGCTCACGATAGCAGATGGAATCTCTCTTGAAGTCAACGGGAGTCAATCAGGCACACAAACATCAATCTCAGCATCTGGCTGTGAATAGCCGGGAGGAAAACTGAATTTCTGTGCTGGGGATGCTGAAAGAGAAACAAAAATAGAGTTCCTAGCATCCCAGATCTGGAACTGAACGCATCTGTTAATGCAATGAAATTCAGCTGCCCAGGCTCTTTCTGCTAGCAGGCTATCTTGATTATGACTTAATATTTTATAGGCCACATATATCTATGTATATATTCATGAAAAACAAATGAACAAGCCCCGAATACAGATGTAGTTGGGGAGAAGCATCCTGAGCTCCATGCTGGCAGCTCTGGAGCATGGGGCTGTTCGGAGGCCCCTTCCTCGCATCCTGATGCTGAGCTGAGCCTCGGCAGCACGGAATGGTTGTGTGCTCCACCAGCACAAGGCCAAAGCAAAGCTCCCCTCGTGGGTGTCCAACTTGGTGGGGTCCTAATTCTCCCCAGGTTTTACCTCTCCTTGCAGGGAACTGGGTCTTGTTCCCTG